CTTTTTGTAGGTATACAACTAACGATCCAAGATGGCTGACAGCCATGATGCCAAACTTGTTGCTTCAAAACAGAAGTCCACAAATCAGTGGGAGACATCACAATGGCTACGTCCATTATTTTTTAAAATGATGTGTCGGATTTCATCCTGTGTGGATCACGGTCAATTTTTCCAAACACAAAGTTAAAGGGAGTCATAAGGGTGCAGCAACCACAGCCTGCACCACCTTCTGTACAGTCATGGAGCCAGAAACATCAAATGTAATAAACTGCATCAAGAGTCCCTGAGCCATTCAAATGCAATGTTTCATCCTCATATGTTCTTCTACATCCCTGCAATGTGACTTCCCCCCTCTGTACTGCAGAACATTTAACATGGATTCCTGAGGCAGTCAATGGGACTAAAGATTACAAATGGCTCTGCCCTGCAGAGAAGCAAAGAGGAGGAACTCTTGATACCTGTGAAAAACTTTTCCCACTCAAGCATAGAAGTGATCACATCGAAGACAAGGCTGAATCCCACCTTCGCTCTGTGGGGAGTTAAACATGCCCTCTGAGAAAGGAAGACAGAGACCGTAATGAAATAAGGCCACCCAAGAGGAAAAAGTTAATCTGCCACCATACCTCAGCTTCGATTCGCTTCCTATTATTCCCAATATCCCCTGGGTGCTGCTTCATTGAGATGTATTATGTCATTCAACGCTAGAAGCCAAGTATCGTTAAGTGGCAATAAATTGTACAAATAATACCAGCCCAGTCACCAGGAGAAAATGTGGCACTGTACGTTTCTGCAAACCACGAACACGTTACATTTGCACATTTGTTTGTATTCTATCTTTTTCTGAATTGACATAGTATATGAGCTGACTTTGTCATCATGAGGTGAGTACCACTGCAGACCACTGTCCGAGACCAACAAACAACAAAACTGGTTGTGTTTTCATGAGTCATTTTTAAGGCTCCAAACATGGGTGTTTTGTAGCCACTTGTCAGCTTTTTTCCAACAGCTTTTTAGACTACAAAGTTGGATGTTTTGTGGTGACCCATCAGTGTTTTTCCAGTGTTTTTTAAGGCTCCAAACATTGGTGTTTTGTAGCGACCCGTCTCAGTTTTTTCAGCAGATTTATAGGCCCCAACATGGGTGTTTTGTAGCCACTTGTCGGCTTTTTACCAGCAGATTTTTAGACTACAAAGTTGGATGTTTTGTAGTGACTCATTAGCATTTTTCCAGTGTTTTGTTAGGCTCCAAAACATTAGTGTTTGTAGCAACCTGTCTCTGTTTTCTCAGCAGATTTATAGGCCCCAACATGGGTGTTTTGTAGCCACTTGTCAGCTTTTTACCAGCAGATTTTTAGACTACAAAGTTGGGTGTTTTGTAGTGACCCATTGGTGTTTTTACAGTGTTTTTAAGGCTCCGAACTTTGGCGTTTTGTAGCCACTTGTTGGTGTTTCTCTAGCAGCTTTTTAGGCTCCCAACATGGGTGTTTTGTAGCAACCCATCAGTGTTTTTACAGCGTTTTTTTAAGGCTCCAAATGTCAGTGTTTTGCAGTAACCTGTTGGTGTTTTTCTAGCTGGGACAGTGCCATTAATGGGGTTGCAATGGAATGAAATTTAATCCTACAGTACAAAACAATTACAATAATCCTCTAAGAAAATATCATAGTTTATGGCATAACAGTTTACAGAATTATACAGTTATTATTATTATTATTATTATTATTAACAGTAACAATGGCACTTAATTGAATTAAAAAGAGATGGATTTTTGGAGGGTGAAAAAACACTTTCTTATAACTGATACTAGAGACAATTTTTGAAAGTAGAAATATGTGTTAGAAGTCTGTAGACGAGGAGGGAAGGAGATGCATACACACAGGTGAGGTTCTCCATTCAGCTGAATTTTTCCCCAATACCAAACCGTAGATAACCAAATACAAAGTAGGGTAACCATCAAATTCTCAGACCATAGTACACCTTGAAACAGGCGTACTGCTGCAACCCTAGTCACGAAAAGCAGTTGTTTTTTTACAGAGAAATCTTTAGTTTTCCTGCCAAAACATGATCTTTTCCAAACCATAACCAAGAGGTTTTAGTGGCTAAACTTAAGCACATGTTAGCCACCATTTTGTTTAATCTTAAAGTTTCATATATAAGGTGCAAACAAAACATATCCATGGTTTTCAGAAATGTACAATGCTAATATTTTCTCTGATGACTTGGTCATTTGGCCGTGGCGGACGTCTCCACTCCACTCAGTGTCTGTCTAGTTTTCTTCTGGCTCAGGTTGTGTGTTTGTGTTTGTGTTAATGTGCTATGTGTCTACCTCAGGATGAGCTTTCAAATTTAGCTTCAGAGATCCAGGTCTTTCCTGCGAATTCTCACTTTTTGAGCATTCAGTATTAGTGAAATAAACTGGAATAAATATTGCAGCTATTAAGAGTGGAAGGCTGTGAATTATTCAACATGGCCCAGATAGCAGTCCCATCATTTGCTCAGTGGGATTCTGCAATATGAGTCAAATATGCAAAAATCACATAACACCTGCTGTTGTGCCTATGCAAATATCCTTATCGTCCAGCTAAAGCAACCATACCTGGCTCTATGCAGATGTCTGGATTTCTGATTTCAGGAGTACAATAATATCAGTGTGATGTTGGAATATAAAGTAGCATGGCCCCTCAGGCAATACCCCTTAAAATAGCTGTGACTATGGTTAAAGTTAGTGCAGAGAAGAAACTGGGTTCTGTCACTGCAGGGATTCGTTTTTCACCGTCTCATTTTAGTTTCATACTGGCCTTTTACATAAAAATAAAACATGTGTGTTGAAGTTTGATACTGCAAAGTTGGAGAATCAGATTAAAAAAGGATGGTCAAAAGCAACAGAGGACAGTGGAACGGAAACAAGGCCAGTGATATCTGTGATATCTTGCGGTGTTGGGCGGACGGACAGATAGATCACAACAGGGACACTCAGCCACAGAGGTTCATGTAAACAGATTAACCTAAAACTGGAGCTGGAATATGACCAACAGTGGGATTAGTCTGGCGTATACTCATGTGTTCATGAAACACCATCTGTAATACTGGTTACAATGGTCGGAGATGACCTGATGGGTGAGATGTCACTTCTCAGGGGTGGGTAAAGGTGGTGGGGTACGGAGGAGGAAGTGTTAATGAAATCACAGCATCCAACACGTTTTCTCGACTCATCTCCTCTCTCTTCAACTCTCCCTCTCATACAGCCGATACAACAATGACTGGATGCTGACTGTTCTAATGCAGGGCTGGAAAGAGCATTACACTTAAGTCTAAGTACTTATTTCAAGAGAAGAAGTGTAAAAAAGAACTTTGATAGAAGCAGCAGCTAGGTCACTGTGTTACTCTGTCACTGCTTTGACAAGGGGGTGAAAATAAAGTGCAACTACTTCATGCCACTGAGCCCTCCTGTCCAAACCAACATTAAATCCTGATTTTTAAAGACAACACTTTGCAACCTGTGCATAAAACTGACATTTATCAATTATAATTATAAATATAAGCAGCAATGTATATATATTTATATGTGTGTATATATATATATATATATATATATATATATATATATATACAAACATACATATAACAGGCTTCAGTGAGAGTCTCTCTCCATGGGATATTTAAAAATAGCAGGTTTGTGCATTTAGTCCTTCTCAGGCAAGCTCAGGGGTTTAGTGTTGCTGTAGCTCGAAGATATGCGACTTTTTTTTTTTTCTCCCAGTGAGGATTAGAATATATGTAGTTCACATAATTTGGCTAAAATTAATACATATAACGCTTTAGGATTCACTCATTACTAAAAGTGTACGTATTATTAAAACTTTTTAATGGTCAAAGTTTTCATATGGAATATTAAAGGTGTGTAGATTGAGTCATGTCATCAACTCATGCATTCAGTAACATCACAAGTTAACGTTCCACCTTAAAAGTTGCCGGCAGTCGGCCCAGTAAATCAAGTTATTTTTTCTCAGACTCCAGCTGCTGTGAGAGGCAGCAAAACATCCTTTCATTTTATAGTTACAGTTTACTAATAAAACTCTCCACAGTATGAACAGTGGTTACATGAGCCTCAAAACCAGACACAACTCAGCCCTGAGCAGAGTGACCGTCCTCTACTGACCAATCAGACTGCAGTGTTCACAGCTCCACCTTTTAGTACCAGATCTGCGTACTAGGTACCCCAACAGAGGGGGGACCAAACATGGGGACGCTAAGAATCGGTTCTGTTGGTACCATCCACAACTTTTCACAGTGGAAACAGAAAAAAAAGCGCACCAAACTGAAACGTACCGTGCTGCTCGGTGGAAACCGGGCTTTTGACTCCACAATCACCTAATCTGACACAGTGACTGTCGGAACAGACAAAAATGTTGTGTAGTGTGAGCCAGGCATTACATTTAGACAGTGAAATAATAGTACTGCAAAATGCAAACAAAAGTATATGGTCTTAAACAGTAGGCCTACATACATGAAAATGCATGAAAAAATAAAGATTAGCTGTGGTACAAGAATACAGATGAAGAGGTATATTCAGTCAGAGGATTTGGGGAAGAAAGATGAATAATTTTCCATAATATGTGGATATATGGGTATTGCTTATCAGCCAAATGAGTTGTTATATATCAGCATATTGGATATTGGTAAAAAAAAAAAAAAAAAAAATCCAAAATCGTGCATCCCTATAATAAAGTGATACTGTGATTATATAGTGGATTTTAAATTCATGCAAATAAAATCTCTCAATGCAAACATTTTAAAAAATGTATACAAATCATATTAGTTTCATACATTGAACTGTTATCCCTTTCTTACTTCATTTTTACAAACACATTCATATTGTAACACTGCGTTTTAAAACACCGGAGGTAAACCAACCACAGAAAAACAGTATATCTCCCTGTTTAACATCACATCAGTTAATGGAGCGACGGTAAAACGTACCTGTGACACACAACAGAGCTCACCTGGTGTGGACGACCATCGACCCGCTCCTGCTCTGTCTGTACAGACGGCGTCATGCTAACGTTAGCTAACGGCACCACAGATGGTGTGTAATGGCGGCAAAAATCATAAAAACGGATATTTAACTTTATAAAAACACGGCGAACTTAATGACTAACACTGAATATACAAACAGATAAAGCCAAATCAACCTCTATGTGCTTTTTGGGTCAATTAACTTTATATTTGTCCACAAACATCAGCAAGCTACCTAGCTCGTTAAGCTAGTTAGCTCATTGAGAATCCTCCGTAGCTCTGTAATTACCCATAATTCTCCGCTACATAACACTTCAGGCAGGTAGAGTTTTGACAGCAGGTGGCGCTGTCGCTTTGTCAAACTGAATGTAATCTGAATTTAAAGCATCTCAGTAGCAGAGGTATAGATCTACAACATGATGGACAGAGGACACACTACAAACAGCCTCATTAATGACTCAGCAAAATTAATCACTCACTACACCTGTGTTCAAAGAGCTCACAGTAAACTGAAGTGGTGCCATTCACTTAAATCTTGAGCCCTCCTACAATCTGATACAGCGATAGACAACAAAATACACATTCAGCAAGTCTGATTTATATAAAGATGAGTAGATATAGAATCCTATATGGAAAACAGTGTGTCATGTAAGAACAGTATAGGAAACACATTGGCTTTTGTGGCTTCCAGCTGTCTCTGCAGATGTGCGTTCTCCTTCTGCAGACGGTCAGTGTCAGTGGTGATACTTCAGGTACTGAGTGTTGACAGCAGGTGGCGCTGTCGCTTCATTGAACTGAATATAATCTGAATTCGTAAACTGCTGCATTTGTTTAAAAACTTACCCTTGCCACCACCAAGTCATTCAATCTCAGCTGTCCCAGTCCTCTGTGGTGCGACTGGGCAGGACAGTGGTGTTTTACTTTGCAGAGGGGCACGCCCCCCTGTGGAGGGAGACACAGGGTCATCTGTTGAGTTTACCTTTCCCCATTTACCTCGGCTAATGTTAAAAAGCTTAAAAAAGAAAAAACAGGAAAAATCCAATTGTCAGAAACATGATCTGTGTGTGGCATCAAGTCAAAAACATCTGGAGGAGAAAACTGCCTCACTCTCACTTCTTACTCCAGGATGAGGGCATGATTTGTTCCTTCCTGGAGGGGCTGATGGAGGATTTAAAGCCTGGGCTGATGAGGCACTACAAAATATAGGAGACTAATATAATCCTGACAGTGGACATGTAATGTCATTTAAAGAAATTACTGATAAATATATCTCATAATTAGTTATGTGTTTTCACACTTGGTCCTTTTCAGCACTCTAAACGGACTCAGAGCAGTGACTCAGCATTAGAACTCAGACCCCTCTGAAGCGAACCAAACTCAGACGTTCGGTTCACTTAACCTGTACCTAGAGAACACAAAGCGCTCCAGGTTCACTTTACTCTTTGCCGTTGTATTCAGCCCTCTAGATCACATGCTGATGACCTGGGACGCTTGAAAAACAGACAAAATCACATCAGTCTGTAACGCTTGCAAGGGCGCAGGACGAGGAGTAGTTTGGTCCACAGAAGATACTGCACGTCTCCAGATGTGGAATGTAGAACACATCAAACAGCAACAGCCTACAGCACAGACACACTGAGGTTCTCCTCAAGTTTTATGTTCATCTGAAAGTGAGGAGCTTCATAACCACACTGCAGTGCCACGTCAAAGTAAAAACAAAACCACATTAATATATATTATATATCAACTATAGTGGACCAGAAAGAGAACTGAGTCCTCTTTCAAATGAACTGACAATGTGAACACAAAAAGAACAGAGTCCCTTTTCTGTCAGTCCACTTCTTGGTCCACTTTAAGAGGTCTGAGTTTGGTTTGTTTAACCACCCTTAAAGACACAGACATCCAGAGCAATCGGAGTAGAGCCGCTGCTCCTTCACCTCAAATGGGGTCAATTGAGGGGGTTCGGGCATCTCAATTCAATTCAATTCAATTCAATTCAATTTTATTTAGAAAGCCCAATATCACAAATCACAATTTGCCTCACAGGGCTTTACGGCGTACGACATCCCTCTGTCCTTGGACCCTCACAGTGGATAAGGAAAAACTCCCCAAATAAACCTTTAACCAGGTAAAAGAATGGTAGAAACCACCTGATCTCGACGTCCCCGGGAGCCTCCTGTTAGAGGTGTTGGGCTGGGCCCCAGGAGGAGCTGGGGAGAGGGACGTCTGGGGTGCTTTGCTTGACCTGCTGCCCCTGAGACCTGGCCCCAAATAAGTGGATGAAAATGTATATATATATATATATATATATATATATAGATGTATGCTGCTTATATAACATCTGGTCTGTCAGCATTCGACATACCGCCTTGTGCAAGCAGTCAGTGTGGTGGAATGGTGTGTTGAAATCAGTTCAGTCTATGTACCAGAAACTTGGCTGAATAAATAAAGATGGAAATAAGGGTTATTTTTACCAGTATCTGCACCACGTAACACACCTCTCTCTAACAAAGAGTCGATTCAAACTGCGTTTCTTTTGGTGTGGGTCATTTTTTCTAGCTGAGGAGCTGAAGTAGTTTAAATTAAGCTCTCGTCACACTGGACACAGGCGTCTGTCTCAGAAGACACATCCTGTCCTGAACCTCACACAAAGACTTGCCCCGTCCTACATTTACCCGATACCCGCTGGCTTCACACTGTTTCTGAAATGATTTCACCCTGCCATGTGAGGAACCAAACACCTGCAGTTCCTGCCAGGAGTTTGAATAAATTAACATTTTAATAATTGCTAATTATTAATTTAATATATTAAATTGCAAGTGCCGGGGTTTCCAGGTGCTGTGCAGCAGAGAAATAAGTAGAACAGAATCACGACACAGAGTAAAATGACTGTGACACTTTAAGAATCTCAACAGCGATAGTTTTGGAATCACAAGTGAAAAGTCACAACGATCAGACATCATCTCTGAAATGAACAGCCCAGTCGCCAGAGGAAAATGTCGGCACTGCACGTTTCTGCAAACCCTGAATACGACTGCACATCTTATACGTATAGTTAGTGTGTTGACGTGTCTGACGTGACGAGGAAGAGGGGATAGTGGATGGCGTGTCACCTGCCAAGCTTCACACCACTGGAACTGAAATGGGTTGTTGTTTTAGAAAGTCATTGCTGCATTTCCAGCAGCTTTTTCGCCACCAAGCATGGTTGTATTTTGGGAACTGTCACTGTTTTTCCTGCCGGGATAGTGCTACGAAAAGCTGTTATTTTTTAACTGAGACTTGGGTGCCCTTTCAGCAGGGACTGTGTCTTTTAAACCAGGTATTTAAAACCCGAACATGATCTCTTCCCAACCATAACTAAGTGGTTTTTGTGCCTCAGCATAACCACACATTAACCACTGCATTGTGTAACGTATCTGTGGTTTGCAGTGACGTACAACACCAACACTTTCTCTGGTGACTGGGTTGAAATGAAACCTTTGGCAGACAGCACATCCGCATCAAGACCTTATGACCTACAAGTGTCATCTGAAAGCTTAAGAACTACAACACATACAAATACCGTGGCTAAAAAACAAGAAGAAGAAACAGGTAAAGCTCTGCTTGTGGTGTTAGAAGCTGCGGTCCATTACATCAAACTAAGAAGCATGAATCAGTTTTTTTTCCTCATGTACAAGCTTTAACCTGATGGTGAACATGCAGCACACATTTCATTGAAGTCAGGTCACCGCCTCAGGCATCAAAAACTTTATCTGAATACAGCTGTGGATATTTAGCTCAATAGAGTAAACTGAATTTACCTAAATCACTGTGTAGACAACTTAGAAGTGTTTCAATCTCAAAAGTTCTACAGATAACATCCTGATGTCATCAGAAGAAGAACATCTTGATCCTCACTGTGCTCGTACTGCCTGTTTATCAAAAGTTACTCCACAGATGTTATTTTACATCCTCACTCCACTGATTGAAGATAAGTTTCATCAAAGAAATATTTCATCACTGTGAAAGATGACTCGGAGCGGAGAGACGTTGCGTTTAGCTCTAAACCTCCATCCCTCTGAGTCATTTCTTCATTCTCTGATCACCATATAGAATTCTATATAATTTAAGACATCCATAATAATTTATCAGATTCTGAATGCACTATATATTTTACAGCTACATATGAAACAGTTCACTGCAGGTTACTACGGACATGTTGTACACGTACGATTAATAACAACATCAACAGAAGATGGACTCTGAACTCAACTCACTACAGCTCAAACAGTGCAAATCAAACCCTGGGATCAGCGGCGTGGATACAGGCTGCGGTACGAACTAGGCTTGGACGGTATCACGATATACCAAACGGTACAATTTTCAATACTGTCTATTAATGTCTACTAATCCAGAGATGTTGTATTGGTGTGCTGTTTGTGGTGCACAGCACGCGCCACCAGAGGTCAGTCTCTACTGGTGGAACAGGCAGCTAAGTTTAGAAAAGTGGCGGCTGTGAGTGGTGGGGATAACGTTACAGGATTGCACAGTCAAGTAACAGTAGCGTCGCAGAACTTTCAGAAGTTTGTGTTTCTATGTTTTTATGGTGTATGCTTTTCATTTCTTCTGGATCAGTACTGTAAGGCAGCAATACTTGTGCAGCTCCTGAGTCCGAGATGAATTTCCCTACAGTTACAATAAAGCATGTCGTATTGTACACAAGTACCTACATATACTGTACACCCCGCTGGAATTTCAGGAATGTATGAAGTAGCGATGAGCCGAATACTCCGATTAAACGAGTATCCAGTACAGGTAATGTACTTGTTACGAGTACGAGTATCATACGAGTAAAATGTGTCTTTATCTGTGCTCGTGATGAAGGAAAACCCTCATCTGGGTGGCTGAGTTTAGAAAAATGTCGGCTCTGAGTGGTGGGGATAACGTTACAGGACTGTAAACGGTACAGTCACGTAACTGCAACGCTGCACAACTTGCAGTAGTGTGTGTTTCTATGTTTTTATGGTGTATGTGTTTCTTTTCTTCTGGACCAGTTCTGAAAGGCAGCAATACTTATGCAGCTCCTGAGCCCAAGATGAATTTCCCTACAGTTACAATAAAGTATGTCGTATTGTACACAAGTACCTACATATACTGTACACCCCAGTGAAATTTCAGGCAGGTATGAAGCAGGTTTGAGCAGAATACTCAGAGGAAATGAGTATCTGGTACAGGTAATGTACTTGTTACAAGTATCATATGAGTAAAATGTGTCGTTATCTGTACTCGTGATGAAGGAAAATCCTCATCTGGGTAGCTGTGTGTAATCTATTACTCTGAGGCTGTTCTGTCAGTGCCTTTCTCATACGTAATAAAGAGATACCGCCCAAGCCTAATACGAACCTTAATGATCCTGACATGAATTTCCCAAACACATCTGCCATCGACATCATCTTAAACCAGTGACGTCACACATTTGTTGCTTTGCTGCGAGGATCCAGTGTCAGTTGTGACAGAGAGCTGTGTGTTAGCAGGCGTCGTGTACTGTTAGGCCAACGAGGAGTCAAAAATGGGCGAGGAAACAGATCTCTGTGGCTACCAGCTGAGCTGCTGGGAGCTCAGATATGGCTGCAGTGTGTGTGAGCGAGCAGTCTGTGTGTGTGTGTGTGTGTGTGTGTGTGTGTGTGTGTGCGGACAGTCTCTCCATTAGCAAAGACTGTTTCTATATGTCTGTGTGCATGCACATGTGTGAGTGTGTGTGGGTATGTCCACTGTGAGCCTGTGTTCTGCAGTTAGAGCTCCTCAGCCATCTGCAGCAGAGAGTTGATGGCAGCGTCCTTGTTGCCCTGCTGTGCGTCCAGTACAGTGCGAACCACCTCCTTGTCCAGGTTAGGGAACATGTCTTGCAGAGCCTTTAGGTCCTCCTCGCTGCACACCTGCACCTGACCTCCGGCTGGCACAGCTGCTGGCATCGCCATGGGCACCATGCCCTGGTTGTAGACTGCTGGCACTCCTAGTAACACAGGACATACACGGCTGATGTCAGAGCCAGCTCTAGTCCTAGTAGGGCTGACCCAAACAAATGCAAAACTATATCAGGAGCTGCGCCTTGACAAAATAAATCCAAACCTATATGACTGGACCATGTGGGACTTTAATTTGAAAGGACAGACACAGGAAGTGTCCACGCTCAGCAGTCAGACAGGAGTCAAGTTAATCTCCAGGGCTGGTACCTGCAGTTATTCCACAGGCTAGTTAATAACATGTCGGGCAGGAAATCCAAAGTGTGGGATCATTTTGAGAAGGTGAAGGACGAACCCAAGGTGATATGTAAACTCATCTTCATTGGTCGACTACAAACATGACGTATCATCTGAAACATGGAAGTAGCTACATGCCCATTAGCCCACAGCGTCATTAACAGGCGGCTCGCTCAGTGTGTGACGTGCACTTGGAGATAAAATATAGGCCTATATTAATGAAGGTTCATTAGTACGGTTTGTATTTCTCTGTAATGTAGCACAGTGTTAACAATGTTACTGATACTATTCTTTCTCACACCTTCAAATCAAACCACCAAAATATATCATTTAATCATTACATTCATATCAGAAACATGCAGGAGACTAGTCCACTGATGGACCCTGATGAGGACTATTAGTCGATGAGGAAAATTCTAAGTTGAGGGGGGCAGCACTAAGGCCTTGTCCACAGGTATTTTTGAAAACATGGTTTCCCCTCCTTCGTTCTGAAAAAACTTCCTTTCTACACACACAGTTATAAAAAAATCTCTGTCCAAATAAACATGTAAAAAAAGCCAAACTGTAACCCTCATGCCAGGCAAAGAAGATGACCAAGAAGACATG